AAAAAATTTTCAGAGTTGCAAAAATTTTTAACTGGAGTTGTGGAGTTGGAGTTGAAAAAATCTGAACTCAACTCAACTCTAATCTAATAAAAACGAAACTCCAACTCAACTCCAACTCCACTAAAAAGAAGCTCAACTCCGGAGTTGGAGTTGCCCATCTCTGATATAGGAAAAGAGTAGGATAGGACTATTAAGATAACTCAACCGGTCTAAGAAGACGTACTTATTTTCGAGACGCAGTATACACTTTGAACAAAATTCAAATAAAATAGTTAGGGCCAGAAATGAGGATTGTTGTTCTTTCAAAAATGCCATTATGCCTGCTTTCTCAGTGCAAATATTATAGACATTCAATCTAAATCTAAATATTCCATAGAAATTAGTTTTCCAATATTAAAAAAGCAAATTAAAACTAAAAAGCTTTCGAAATAATCATAGGGTTTAATTGAGTACTTCTCATTATTTATATCAGTTACTATCACAATCAAACAGTAATCATTCACATCAAAACTCAACGCACGTGATCACACGTGTCTGATTTGAAGCAAGTTGATTAATTAAACAACAGATGTAATAAGACAAATTTTACCATTGGAATTACAGACATGTATATAAATTTTTCTTGATGTTGATGTTATGTGATCATTGGGTATGCATATTATTCGTGGACTAATTTTTGTCGACTAGGACTTTTGTCGACACCATTTCGTCGACAATTTTTTGTCGATACTTGATTGTCGAAAGAATATCTTGTCGACAACTTTTCGTCGACGCATAATTTATCGACAAGCCATTTTGTCGACGAATATTTTGTTGAGAAATATGCATGAAAAAATTATTAATGCTCAAGAGCATGCTCAAGAGCATCAATTTATATGTTGCTTTTATGGAGTAGATAGAAGAGAAAATGACAGCTAGAGTAATTATAAAGACAACATAGATGACTAGCAGAGTAACAAGATAGTAAAGTGAGAACGAGAGATAAGGCAACGTTGAAAGGTTTGAAATATCATTTCTTCTTGCGACCAAAAGCGACAGGCCTTGGATGTAGTCGATCACGTCGATCTATTTCTTCTTGAATCGATCCGCGAGCGTTTCGAGACACTGTTGAATGCGACATGTTTGTTGCCCATAAATTTTCTACTTGCTCATTTTCACATGTTGAATATGTTGATTGCCACTGGTCGTGTGGCAAAAGCATGATGTACGGACGAAAAAATTCGTATTACAGACACGTATACATGCATGTGATTGTAACAATATGGTAAGACGGTCGCTTGACCAACAGCTATGTCTTATATGCGACTAACTAATAATAAGGCAGAAGTTCACATCACAGATGAAAGATTCATAGTCGACCAAATGGTTTGTTGGCAAAAAGACTCGTCGATGAGATGAGTTGTCTACAAAATAACTGTCGACAGAATGAGTTGTCGAGGAAAAGCAGCCGACAGACATATGTCAACGGAATAAATTCGACAAAATACCTTGTCGACAAACTATCTGTTCAACGAATGATATGCAGTTCGATTACTGTACCCACTATGAACGGATGCAATATTCATCTAAATATTCATCTAAATATCAACAAAACATTTATTTCTGATTCATTATTTTCCATTTGAATTTCCTTGTGATTAATATTATTATAAAAGAAATGATTGGTAAAACTCTTTGGTTTTTTAATGGTAAAAACGAATGAAAGCCGTATTACTTGAATAATTATTACTATTTATTATATCAAACCTTTTCGATATCGATAATTTAATTTTACACTATTTGGACGTTTTTGTATTTAAAGTTATTCTCTGAATCTCCTCTACAATATATTACAATTAGAGATAGTTTTCTGTTCTTGTCCATTATAGGTGTTGATAGTTCATGATGATCTGTTTCGCTATGAAGATTTATATTATTACATCCAGGGACACCTATCCTGTGGGACATCTGAGGCGCAGTGCCTCAAACAAACGTAAGGTGGTATGCTTTTTTGCTGTAGAGATTAATTTTTTAGGTGTGATCGAACCTTCGAGATGATACAAAATGCCTCAAATATTCAGGTGGGAATAGACGCCCCTGATTACATTTATATCTAATTGATCGTCAAAACTATCTTTCTTTTCTTAAATGATAAAAAAAAGACGTACATAGGTATTTAGGTTTATTGAACAAGAAAATTTTTTTATTGATTTGTTTCATGATTTTTAACATTCTTTCATTCGAACTTCTCTCTCTCTGATTCCATTTGATTGGTTCAACTAATTCAAATTTCATTTTTATGCACAGCTAGTTTTTGCATAAAATAACAATATTATTAACATATTAAAAAGTAAATGAAGTTGTTTTTTCTAGTTTCCTGGAATCGCACGTGCACACACATGCATAAGTTTTCTGTGTGTCATACGTGTATTGACGGATAACAGATCTCTTTGCATTTACGTTCAGAATATTACAGAGAAGTATTCATCTTTTTAGTGTATGAGAAAGAAAAATAATCAGAAATTTCATTAAATAGATGAGTAAAATCGTTTGATACATCTACCTCTTACGCTCTTTCATTTTCTTTTTCTCTGATGATAACATTAGACATACATTATGCAGCATATATAAATAAATCTAAACAAAGACTACAAATAGCAAGTTGTATTTAATTGGAACTGATAAAATAATTATATTAAATTAATTTCAAAGAATATACAACCTTGAAAGAGTTCAAAAAACGTTTATTTTCCACTTTCTATTCAGTTTATAAAAAATAATAATTCAACTATATTTGACCAATACTTTCACTTCTCAGCAATGCCAATTCTGTCAAAAAATGGAGTGACGGGTAACAGAAAACATCTCCGATCATCTTCACCTGAAGTTTTTACATCTGATTGAATTATACAGCCTCTTTTATTCGAATAAGGTATCGACATTGAATGAATTGTAGATAAATTAACAATAACTCTCAAAATTTTGTTGCTTGTTCCTCTCCGCGAATACTTATAACTACTTTATTATCTGTTCTTTGTTCGATACTGTACAGGTCCGTTTTACTATTATTTGGTATCATTGTCTTATTTTGTCTTGTTGATTCATCAGTATCATTTATTGATGAAAAATAATAATGGGGATTATTTATTGCTTTTAGATTTGGTGATGAAGGTGTGGATGATGTTGAATTGTTTGACGATGAATTGATTATTTCCGGTTTCGTTTGAATTGTTACACTTTTTTGTTTTAGTATTGATGGATGTAGATTGGTAGTAGCTGGTAATCGAATTGGTCCATTATTCGTGGAAAGATTATTAACTGACGTTGTCATTGTTGGATCAGAAGTATTGTTATTATTATTATTGGTTTCGACTAGATTTGAGGATATATCAAATGTTTGATTTGAACGAAATGTTACACTGTTATTTGACATTGATCCCAGATCAGTAAGGGAATCGGGTAAGTCATATAAGAGTGTTTCAGGTAGTGGAAACACAACACAACAACTCAAACATAATGAGCCACCTGAGATAAATAATAGTAGTGAACGATCAATTGAAAACTAGAAGAGAGACGATTCATTTTTTATAAATGATGTATTTTCAAAATGTGTATAAGAAACATACCCACAGTAGAACTTCAACGCTAAGACGAGCAACAATAGATTCAGCAAGACCAAGAGCTAATCCAACACAGCTAAAAATAAATGTTTAGCAAGTTACAGCGTACCCTGAAGACCATATTAATACATCGAACATCGTGATTAGATTTATTTTCCTTACCGAACCGATGTCGGATATAGTTCAGTGCAATACAATATCAGCAGACAATAACAAGTTCGGAGACATCCACGTGAAAGTAGCGTAAATGAAATATTGAGCCATGAATATTCTAAAATAGATGAGACAAATTGTTAATATCAATAGTTGAAAGAAGATAAATTACCTTTTCCCAATAATGTTATAGCCAGTGAAACTGAGGATAATCCGCTAATTAACGTAAGTACAGCTAGTGGTGCACGACGACCGATTCTAAAAATGCAGAGCAGATAGATTTATCCTGTTCTTTTGTCTAACAAGAAGACACTCCTCCCCCTCAAATGTCATACCGCTGTTCAATCATACGTCGACTCTATAAAGACTAAGAGACACTGAAAGATCTGAATGTATAACAGAGACGTAAATATATACAACAAGACGGTACACCAGGTTATATATCCAAAGAGATGTGAAGTATAGTACTGAACGTTGAAATTTAGAAATGTGAATAATCTATTTTGAGACAAATTCTGGACAATCCTCTAGTCCTTGTTTTGACACTTGGAAGAGTTCCATCATAAGATATGAGAGTTACACATACTTGAAAGCAGCAATTAACGCAATAATAAATGAGAAAAATTCTACAGCATTCATTAAGACAAAACTGATTGCTGGTTGCGATACGATAATTGGAAATAGTGCGCAATGATAACAGAATGATGAAAGAAACCTAAATATGTACAATATATAGGTTATAACAAAACAGCTATTGATTTCTATATTATTACCATAGTATGGATAGACAACATGTAATTGTTCGAAGACGACTTTCAAAAAATAGACCGATTAACGTACTACCTCCTCGAATATCATCTGTGGGTAATATTTCATTTGAATAATTTTTTGAAACTATTTCAAGACCAGATGTTTGTTTCGAACATAATTTTAAAAATTTGTTAATTCGTGATACACGATGACTATTAATATACCATCGCCGTGACTCTGGTATTAACCTTAAAAAATAACATGAAACAAAGCTTTTAAAAACAAATTAATTAAAAATTATTCCTACCATGGATAGCAAAGAGTCAGTGTGGTAATTAGTGTGCCAACAAGTTGAATATGTCTCCAATCGGCAATGAAAAAATATGTAACACCTACGATAAAGATAAGTATTTAAGAGTACCATAAATGTTGGTATGGAGTATTAATTACCAACTATAATCCCAAAAACGGGTACAGACGCTAATAAGAGGCATCCAATTTGAGCTCTATGTCGATATTCACAAGATTCAATTACCATAACGAAGACAAGTGGCAATAGACCCTGAAATAGTTGGTCATGGTCATCTATCAATCTCGTGAATAGATCTAGATTACAGCATACCTGATTCAAAAATCCAACTGGCCATCTTAAAATAATAAACAATGTGTAGGTGGTCGTAAAAGCTGCTAATGATCCAAATAGCTAAATACAAAAGTATTAAAAGTTACTTGAAAATAGGACGATTAAATTTTTCATACCACTGGAATATACAAACACATTAATAATAACAATTTCCGTCCATATTGATCAGCAAAACTATTTATCATTAGTACACCAATACATTCTGCTACTAAGAATGATACTGAACCATATAAAACTGTTTTACTATTATCAGATCCACATACCAAATTCCACTATAAATAGATTGATGAGGAAAAAAAGCTAAATGAGAATACAATTGAATAACCGTATACCTCTTCAATAACCGTTGCTTTTTGTTTTTCATAATTTGAACTACTACCAAGTAATTCAGCACAATATAATGACAAACGTTTATCACATGAACAACAAATGGAACTATTTGATTTTGATGTTGAATTTGACAAATGTGTTAATATTAGATCTGATGATCGAGAACAATCAATTGTAGAAAATGGTTTTGTGTAAATAGACCAGATGTTAGTATGAAAAGTATATGGTAATAAAACACCACAAAGAAATGCAATACTTGCAAATTGAAAACGATAAATAGTTCCACAATCTTTGCTAATACAATCATCAAGTTCCATCATCTTTAAATAGATAAATAGATAATCCTATAAATGTATGATAAATTATTGAGTTTTTGAATGACAGCTTGATTCATGCTCTACAACTATAATGCGCAGTCGATCCTTCATGTACAAAAAAGATCGAGAGTAGACAAGAAAAATTTATATCGAGACACGGATAAACAAAAACTGTTTTTATTAATTGTTGACACTATTGTTTACTCAGAAGAGACTGATTAACATCACCTAAACAAATGGCTTAACGTCATTTTAGAGACAAAAAAAATGTATGTCACCAACGGAAAGAGAGAGAAAGAAACACGATGACTCAGTTAATAGCTGAATTCTGAGAACCAAAAGATCAAAAAGAATTTCAAAATTTTGTTTTTATCAGAAAATGGTTTATCGTTTATCCTAAATTTAAATAGTTTGTTTAACGAAATTTTGCTTCTTCATTTATGTAAAACCATCAGTATGTCTCTAAATTCACATAAATCTAGGTCAAAATCTAACGATTATTGTTTAAATCGAGAGAGTTAACATTTTTTCATCATGATTTTATTCAGATTTGGCACTTTTTTGCACTTCATATCATCTGCGTCAGTTTCTATGATTACATAAGAAGATATTGACGTTATTTTTCAACTTTGTCTACAAGATTTTATAAGAAGCTTCTAGTTGACGAAATGTGGTGTTTGACAAATAGGATGGTAGACTCGTTCCAGACTGTGCGACTGAATGGTTCTGAGATGTACCACCACCATTACATGTGTACAAATATTCGTAAAAGGTTGTGCTACATATAAGATAGTTGTTCTTTGGAACTCTGTTAGTAAGTATTGTTAAGGATCGATTTCAAACGTTTGTACAGGGTGATCAAAAAAAACTTACCCCCTGTGTATTTATTGACTTTCTTGTGTACAAATATAATTGAACTTTTTACCATTAGTTTATTCGAATAGAGCAAAGATTTCAACATTAGCACTGAACTAGAAGGTAGAAAAATAGACAGATAGTTATATAATAAACTAGCAAAGTCACTGGGATAGATCAATTGACAACCAATTCATCAGAATTTAGAAAGTCTTTAAACAAGACCGAGAGATCTATCAAGACCGTTCCCAACTAATAAATGTAACTCCTTGAGGTATGGCAGAACAAATTCTCTGTGACAAACCACAAGACATCTATCAATACATTTAAAGTCATAAGATAAAAAAATGTCACTGACTTCCAATGCTGCTACTAAATCACCAATTTCTTTATCCAGGTCAAATTTCCATAGATACAGAGGAAACCTTCCACATTATAATACAACGATTTCTGAATCACTTGAATGATTATCAAAGTCGAAGCCATCTGATGATGATCTCTTAAGCAAGGATCGAAACGCGTCATGGTTAGCTTGGACTCATCACTACTCTACGGATACCTAAAACATTTCTTTGGAAATAAATTTAGGTCAGTTATATATATATTTGTAGAGATCTTGTTTGTGATCTCCGGATCATATGAACAGAGTCCACAACATGTATATGATTAAGTCGAAACCATCTGCTGATGATCCCTTAAGCAAGAATCGAAACGCGTCATGGTTAGCTTGGACTCACCCTCACCCCACCCTCATCTCATCTTTTGAAATTATGTTGAGAGTCCTTGCCTCTTATAATTATTTCAATTGTTATGAAATATATTTATTGTGCAGGGTAACTATTTCCGGATTTACCTGACGAGTCCTTTGAGCGAGGACGAAACGCGTCGTAAATACTGCTTGGAAATATATCTTTGAAACTCACCCTCACCCTCAAGTTTTTATTGGTCGACCAGTTCTCTGGGGTTTGGCAGTCGATAGAAAGAAAGGTGTAAAGAATGTATTAGAAATATTGAAAAACGAATTTTGCGTAACTATGATACTGTGTGGATGTCAAACTATTGGCGATATTCGAGAAAATAAACTTTTGGTGATAAATAATAATATTACGTCCGAATTATAAACTGTCAAAACTATTAATACGACAATTGGATTAATGAAACACTACTAATATACATACCTCTTTAGCTATGTCGACAGAGGATTGTTTATTCTCAAATTAGTTGGTTCAGTTAAGAATGAGAGTGAATTTGAAATAGATGAACTTCAAGCTAAGTACTTACGACGATCGTTTCGAATTCATTTAGGGATCATCATCAGGTAGATTTAGAATTTTGTATTGCTGTGTCATTGAAAACATCTTCACGTTTAAACACATTATCTAATCGATTTTTCTGCATACTTTAATCACATTCGCATCGACATGCTTTGAAAATGAGTGTTGATGCTGTGTATGAAATTTTTCCAGATATCTCGTGCAAATCTTTTTCGGTGAATATATATTTTATTAGAATCGAATTTCCAGAAAAACACCGAAAAAAAATGAAGAATAGATATTTCAGAATAATAGATAAAGGAATTGTTGATAATATGTGTGAATACTTGTGTTACATTTCCTACAAAGAAAAATACCGATCAACAGAATGCCGTATTTAAAAAAAATCATGACTTACATGACTTAGTACAACCATGAAAATACATGACTTAGGCACAGACACCAAGGCGAGTACTGCCAGTTGGTCCAACACCAGTTGCGTAATTGAACTGACAACGATAAGAACAACATCTCGGACCAGCACCACTACCAAGAGAACTAGAAGGAGGAACACAAAGAGCACCACGAGCAAGACAACGTTCAGCTGCTGCCTGTGGCATGTAGATTATTGTCATCAACACCAAGAAGACGATCAAACAAATCATTCGACTAATCTTCTGCATTGTCGTCTGTTACTGTTCCGCGTTTGAGAAGATAGTGATTGTTAAGTAAGAGAGAATATGTAAATGGTATGGCTTAGCTTTATATACACGTAAATCACCGACCCAGGAGATATCTCTGAGAAAATTTTTCTTCATGACTGGAGAGAAAGAGAAAGCCAGATGCATTTTTTCTCAAAGGTCGACTTACATACTGTTATTGTGATAGAAAATGACCCTCTCATTTTTTCTTCTCCCTCTCGTTCTCACTTTATACACATTAAGACTATCTCCCGAATCAGATAGAATGGAATCATTGCTCACACCTACACATGTATCGAAAGTAGTTAAATGTTTTTCTTATCTTATTTCAATTTGACCGTCATTTTCAATAGATACCTTAACAAAATGGTAATCTGGACCAAATTTTGTCTCGTTCTCGTAACTCTGAAAACAGAGCACGTTGTGGATCGACGAACTTATTGTTATATACTCCGGTTATCTGACAGAAAAGAAACAGTCTTCCCACTCTTGAATGGTTTTCGAACTTGTTTCTATCGGAAATCCAATATCTATAATTTAAGGTAAAATGTGTTTCTGTATCGAATACATAGAAATTCTGTTTAGTATAACTTTTAAGTTTATCATTTGCGATGGATGAAAACAATAAAATCGATTCGCTAAAGAAACATCGATGCTGAGCTACGTTAGCTGGACGAGTCCATGGCTATGTTCACACTACGACTTAAGCAGCTTAATTTTTTCGCCTTAAGGATTCTGATTTGTGTGGTTACTGTTTCTTGGTTAAGGCCCCCGTCACGATCCGTAAGGCGC